AGGGAAGGGAAGGGAAGGGAAGGGAAGGGAAGGGAAGGGAAGGGAAGGGAAGGGAAGGGAAGGGATTCCTTCCTAAGGCCCAGTCTAAACCTGCCCTCTGTCCACCTGAAGCCACTGGAGCCATTGCATTGCCTGGGAGAAAACTGTTCTGCTCAACCAGACATCACTGCATTAAATATATAAATTATACACACACACACATACAAATATAAGTTACAATTCAATGAACAACTCAGTTCATCTCTGTTCCTCTATTCTCCCCTTCTTGGGGTAGACTTAACTCAAATCCATCTCAAAGAAGCATCCATTTCCCTGAAGGAAAACACCTTTTCTCACCTAATTATTAAACCTGGGTTTCTTTAAGTTTAAGTCACTGTCCCTTCTAAAATGACAGATGGAAAATAACCACAAAGCCTCAGTGGTGTCACCTGAACTCCTCTGCTCTGCCCCTGCTGTGAGGCTCAGTTTAGCAAGTTCCTTGTTTAAAGAATGTCACTTACTAGCAGTTGTGATTGATATATCACTCAGGACACGTGGTCTGGCAGAAAATGATAGAAGGACCAACAGATGAGACCAGTCTGAAGGGTTTAGCTGATGCAATTAAGCTGCTGTATGGTACAGAAGCTAGAGAATGGACAGCAGATGATGTTATCAGTCTTGTGGATGAGCTGTCAGGTGTGTTTTTGCCTTTATCATTAATCCCCGGGATTGTGGATCCTCACGTCCTCCAAACCCAGCTGAGTGCTGCAAAATTCCTCTCAGTAGTTGTGGCTTAACTGGAAAAGTTCACCACACTGGGATGAGAGAAACCCAGTGTCCCTTACACATCCAGGCTGTCTTTCCCCATGGAGAAATCCTTTAAGAATCCATGCAGATTTTTAAAAAATTCAAATCTTGCCACGAATTATTCAGGAAACATTGTCCAAACATTGTTTGCTGGGGCAAAATTCTCCTGAGGAATTTTACCAGCTACACTGAGAGTTTTGGCCGAGGTTGTGTCACGGAGATGATGTGGAGAGCTCTGATTGTCACTGGCAGGGATTATTTGTGCAATTTCACTGCTCCCCTTTTTGCCCAGAGGTGACTGAAACCCTCTCTGCCTCCTTCCAAAGTCCTTCCCCAGGAGTGGCTGATGGAGAACAACGCCCGGCTCCTCCTCCTGAGTGGGAACAGCATCTGCTTCACCTTCATGGCCAGCAAAGCTGTCAATGGCAGAGCTGTGGAGCTGGCCAGGCTCATGGTCTTCATGGCTCTGGTGAGTACAACTCCCACATTTGCTGCCTCAGCCTGGAGGAGTTTCCCCTCCCCTGCTCCCACACTCTGGGAATCAAGCCAGCCAGGAGCTGGCTGCTCTCCCACCTCTCTGCTCCAGCAAATCCCTGAGGAAAAGCACCACCAGCAAAAGGTTCAGAATTCCCTTTGTGCCAGCAAGAACGAGCTCTGTGTCCTTGTCACAGCCCCTGATGTTCCTGGCCTTGTCACAGCTGATCCAGAGCCCAGAGCCAGGGCTGAGATCTGGCTTCAAAAGCTGTGGTTTTAACCCTTCCCGTGCCCTGCAGGTGTGTGAGAAGGACCTGTACTGCATGGACTGGGCAGTGAAGATGATGCAGAAGGTCTGCAAGGTTTTCAGCACTCCCTGGGAGAGGAACAACTTCCTGCAGTGCCTGGAGAACACCTTTGCTCACATGCTCATGGACATGATGCAGGCAGTGCTGGCTGGTAAGGCTGGGCCCCTGGGCCGGTTCTGGAGCCAGCCACAGCATCCAGAACTGCCTGACCTTCCCTCCCTCCCCAGGCAGGGCAGTCCTGCACAGCCTGAGGGGTTGGAGATCATAAAATCCCAGATTTCCAGAATTTCACAATGGTTTGGGTGGGAAGGGGCCTTAAAGCTCATCCAGAGCCACTTCTGCCACGGGCAGGGACACCTCCCACCATCCCAGGTGGCTCCAAACCCCATCCAGCCTGGCCTTGGACACTTCCAGGGATCCAGGGGCAGCCACAGCTTCTCTGGGAAACAAAAATAACCAAGCCAGTATCATAATGGGGAAGAAATATTTATTTGAAATAATTTCTCTTGCTAAGAGATTCCTGGTGCAATGGATGGTGGAACCAACAGTGGCTTCAAATCTGTCCCACCAGAAAGCTGGGCCTAAAGTCCAGCTTGGGCTGAGCCTAAAGCTGCAGCAGCTGCAGCTGCAGCCCTGCTGGAGTGAGGAACATCCAGCTCAGCTCAGAGCTCAGCTCAGAGCTCAGCTCAGCTCAGCTCAGCTCAGAGCTCAGCTCAGCTCAGCTCAGCTCAGCTCAGCTCAGCTCCTTGTCCTGGCACACAATTGTTCCTGTGTGTCCCTGGGCAGGGAATTTGGGAGCTGTTCCCTCCTGGCTGTTCTGCCGTGGGGCAGAGGCTGAGGATAAAGCCCAGCCCCAAGCACAGGCTGCTGCCTCCCTCTGCAGAGCTCCCTGAGCCTGCCTGGCTGAATTCTCCACCTTCAGCGCTCCTTTCCCGTGGTTTCTGTGCCCTGCCAGGGGAGAGGGACGAGGAGGACAGCAGCTTCCTGAACCTGTTCCACCTGGTGAATGCACAGGCCAACTTCCACAAGGAAATCCTCTACATGGCCATGGGCAGCAGCAGCAGCACCACCTGAACCCCACGGAGCCCTCCTCCCTTCCTGCTGGATTTCCTTTCTTTCCCTTTGAACATTCCCAAACAAGTCCCTGATTATTTCTGCAATTCCCAGTAAGAGCTGGAGTGGCAGAGGCCGGGCCCAGCCGTGTCAGGCCAGCTGAGTGAGCTCATGGAGGGCTTGGAATTCCATTCCCTGTGCTCTGCTCCTCCAGGGAAGAGGCCTCTCCGTTGGGAACACAAACTGCACTCCGTTCCCACTGTGCATGTTTGCACACACAATAAAAATGACATGGTTTCCACAGCTGATGTGCAGACACCGACTGAAACTCGTGTTATCTCAGCCCAGAACCCAAAACATTCGGAGCTCTTACATTGATTTTCTCTTGGGAACCTGAGGAGAAAGGGAGGGACGGGGATTTGAGGAGCTGCATTTTTCCAGCTTGCCAAATTCTCTGACTCAGGCCCTGTGACAGAAATGGTTTGTACATTCAGCTCGAGGGAAAAGTGATTTCTGAAAGCAATTCCAGGGCTTTGATCAAGCAAGGCATTTTTTTCCTCTCAATCTCCAGGTTTTCCTAAAGCAGAAGAAACTTCAAATCTCTCCCCCTGCCCCAGGTAGCGACTGTTGAAGTGTTTTAGGATTTAGCAGAGTTGAAGACACCCATTAAACACATTAAATTAGAACTCTGGTTCATTAAATGGATAAATATTTGCTGCTCAGAGAAGGGTTTGATTTTCTGCTCTGTTACCTTCCAGACAAAGCCCTGTGATGGCAATAAAAATCTCTCTGTGCTGTTTGCAACCTCCAGGCTCCTGCAGAGCTGCTTTCCCCACCTGAATATTCCCTTTCCCACCCTCCCAGGCTTCCCTCAGCCCCAGCCTTTCCCAAATTTAGCTCGGGAAGTGTGGGAACAGCTGATTTATCACGGATTTGTCTCAGCTGCCCCCACCTGCAGCTCTGAAGTTTGTGCCCTAAAATTCCTGGTGGCTTTTGTGGAATCCGCAGTTCCAGGCAGGATTTTGCTCCGGGAAGTCAGAGGTGAAACCTCCCCTCCAGCTGCTGGAAAACTCCGGGAACATCCCTTTCATCCCTCTTTTCCCTCGGCTGTTGGAAGGGGATGGAGAAGGGAAGGAGAGAAATTCCCGGCTCCGGTTTCCGCTCAGAGAACCCGAAGTGTCCGCAGGGAACCCCAAATTCGAGGAGAAAACCCCCTCGAGGTGAGAAGAGCGACGGGAAAAGTCCTCCAGGAATCTCCAGCTCAGATCCCTGTCTGTCCTTTCATCCTGGGGAATGACCCTGGGAATGATCCCCAGGAATGATCCCAGGAATGATCCAGGGAATGATCCCGGGAATGATCCCAGGAACGATCCCAGGAACGATCCCAGGAATGATCCCAGGAACGATCCCAGGAACGATCCCAGGAATGATCCCAGGAATGATCCCAGGAATGATCCCAGGAACGATCCCAGGAATGATCCCAGGAACGATCCCAGGAACGATCCCAGGAATGATCCCAGGAATGATCCCAGGAACGATCCCAGGAATGATCCCAGGAATGATCCCGGGAATGATCCCAGGAATGATCCCAGGAATGATCCCAGGAACGATCCCGGGGCATGATCCCAGGAACGATCCCAGGAATGATCCCAGGAATGATCCCAGGAACGATCCCAGGAATGATCCCAGGAATGATCCCGGGAATGATCCCAGGAACGATCCCAGGAATGATCCCAGGAACGATCCCGGCGGGTGGGAGCAGGGAGGGAGCAGAGCCCGGCCCTTTGTGTGTCCCTGTCCCGCCGTGTCCCGGCTCATTCCAGGCGGGCACAAGCGGGGCCTTTGTGAGCTGAGCCCCGGGAAAAGGGAGCTCTTTGATTCCCCGCAGCAGCAGCCGGGGCCGGGCTGTCAGCACGGCGGCTCCCGCTCAATTAACCATGCCTTTATTAATTGCCATGAACTGCTCCGCCACTCCCGGCGGCTCCGGGCGCGCTCGGCTCGGGCTGGAGGGGACATCAAACCCACCCAGTGCCACCCCCTGCCACCCCCCCTGCTCCGAGCTGGCCTCGGACACTCCAGGGATTGATTCCCGCTGGGATTTTTGCCCCTTTTCCATCAACCGGCCCTTCCCAAAGCAGTGAACCCCAACCCTGCCCCAGTTTGGGGTGAAATGTCACCAGTCCTGCTCCCCCCTTTCCATTTCCCCTTGGATCAGAGCCCGGGAAGCTCCAGGTGTGGATGAGCCGGGATGGGGGCACTGAGCAAAGCGAGATTTTCCTTTTGCTGCCGAATTTGAACCGCAGCACTGGAGAGCGGGCAAAGGCCGGGGCCAGGAGCCAACCTGGGGCTGGATCCCGGCTGCCTCCCGAGGTGTGCAGGGATCCTGTCCCTGTCCTCTCCTCCTTTCCCAGCTCTCCTCACCTTCCAGAGGCAGGAATCGCTCCTCGGAGCTGCTCAGGACTGGGGCAGGGCAAAGGCTCGCTCCTGCCCAGCTCAGTTTCCATTCCCCGCACTCCTCCTCCCCTCCCGCCTGCGGATGTCGGAGGTTATGGACAGAGCGACTTTGTGCCTGCAGAAATTCCCTCGGGAATATTCCAGCCTCCCGATTCCCGGCTGTATTTAGTGCTGGAGCGAGGGAGCAGCGTCTCCTCTCAGCCCCGGGCGGCTCCAGGATCGCGCTCGGGGTGAAATCCCCAGCTCGGAGCTTCTCCCAGGAGTTTTACCCACAGGAAATTGCAGTGTCGAGCGTTCAGCTGGCAGCACCCACCGCATCCAGCATTCCCAGGCTCTGAAATCTGGTTTTTTTTTTTGTTTTCCCCCTGTGAACACCCTCTCCTGAAATTCCCATTCCAGCATTTCCTGACCCCCTGCTCTCTCACGCGATTTTCTGCTGCTTCCACGGATAACTGAAGGGGCACAAAGTTTTTCCCATTATGGATATTTCAGGTGTTTATTGCTTAAGAAAATAGAAAACCCTGGGAGACACCAGGAATGGGAAAAAATTTTACCTTTTAAGAGGGTGAAACTTTCAGTCATTGCCAGTGAGAGGCGGTGGGAGGGCAGGGATTGATTCAGGCCTTCAAAAAAGGAGATGAAAAATCCTCCTGCTGCCCCAAACATCTCCAGGGAGGGGAAAATGAAGCTCTGAAATGTTCTTCCCATCCCACAGGAATCTCCATCCCGGGAAATGGAAATTCTTTCCCTACCCAAAGCGTCCTGGAGCTTCCCCAAACACCCGAGAGGGGCTGGAGTGAGGGGTGGGGATCCCTCCCCAAGGTGGGGACCCCTCCCCAGGCACCTCCGGGGGACACAGGGATGGATTTCCCATCTCTCAGCATTCCCTGGATGCTGCTGCCCTGGCGGGGTTTGTCCCTGGAGTTTGTCCCCCGCGTGTCCCCGCAGTGACACCAGGAGCCACCGTCCCTCTCCTTCCTCTTTATTCCTCCGTTCCCCGAGCGCCGCTCAGCAAAAACAGAAACTTCCCCAAATTAAACCCGCAGGAGCGGCCTCGGACGCGACACAAGGCGGGGGACAGGACCCAGCACCCCCCGGGGACCCCGCGGGGACATCCCAGGTCCTGGCAGGGGGAAGGACACAGGTCCTGGCAGCAGGAAGAGTACAGGTCCTGGCAGGGGGAAGGACACGGGTCCTGGCAGGGGGAAGGACACAGGTCCTGGCAGGGGGAAGGACACGGGTCCTGGCAGCGGGATTAGCCGGGTCCCAGCCGCGGGACAGCCCCCTGCAGCCCCCTCGCGTGTCTCCCCATCCCCGGCTCGGCGCTGGGCTCGCAGGGGTTAACGCTGTTCCAGAAGGCTCCGAGGGACGCGCACCGGGCGGAGGCTGCGGGAGAGAAGGAGAAAGGAGAGGCCGCTGTGAGCCGGGCCCGGAGCTGCGGGACCCGCGGGGACGGAGCAGCTCCGTGCGGGGATGGAGCAGCTCCGTGCGGGGATGGAGCAGCTCCGTGCGGGACCCGCGGGGACGGAGCTCTTCCATTTCTCGCCCTCTCCGGAACAAAAGCCGCCGGCCCGAGCCGCAGAGAGCGGCTTTTCCAAGCGGGCTGGTAAATCCGGCAGGGAGAGCCCGGCCTGGTTTGTAAAATCCCCCCCAGTGCCCCCATTCCAGCCCAGGCGGCCAAACCCACCAGCCCCGAGCCCAAAAGTGCCCCCTGCCCCCATTCCTCCCCCCAAAGCCTCACCTGGGGCCGGGAGCTCACCTGGCCCGGCTGCTGCCGAGCCGAGCCTGCCGCGGGTCCTCTCTAGAGCACGTAGATGATGTAGGACAGGATCACCAGGCCGATGATGGCGAAGAACATCAGGATGAAAATGTCCAGCATGGCGAGGGAGGGAGGGGGCGGCGGGGCTGGGGCTCAGGAGCTCCGGGAAGAGCTCCGGGAAAAG